GTGTAAACCAGGGGTTCCCTAGATGACAGGGTCTAGGTAAGGATCACCGCAGAGAACCAGAGGGCCTGGTTTTAGTGTCAGGAGCACAGGGTCCCTCAACCCCCCTTTGAGTGACTCTCAGGTTGCACCATTAATTAGTTGGTGTGACCTTGAAAAGTGTACCTTAGCTTTCAAGCTGAATTGTCCTTACCGTAGACTAATGTACCCCAAGTGAACGATTCCTCTGTTATAAGTGTAACTCCAAGCACAAGTACACAGCAGCGCCTCACTCTCTTGGCGCTACTGGAAACTGGAAACTGTGATACGCCACTTCCTTGCTCAAAGTCACTGGTTTCCCCCTTGCGGTGCCAAAAATCCAAAACCTCTCCGTTTGCCAAAGCCAAGGAGAGCTGCCCTCTTCAAACTCCTCTCTCCTGCCATCCACCTGCTCATCTCTCCCCCTCAGCCTCACAGACCCTCGGTCACATCGACCCACACAGCAGCTTCCCTCCTCACAGTGCCCACACAGCCTGAACCGCCCTGGCACCGAGGCCTCAGCTCCAAAGCCACTTCCTAGAGCTGGTCTTCAGTCTCAGGGAACACAGGGTGATAGAAATGATTGGCCTTCTCTCCGGAACTGACACACACACCCTGTGAGTTAGAGTCAGAGCCTCCCCTCAAGAGAACCAGAAGTTATGGATCAGACAGGGTTAGGCACCAAAGAGCTTTGAATGGTTGTTGTCATTACAGTTACTGCTATGCTGAAGCTGCGGAGCAGGATATATGTGCCTCTCATGTGTGTATGCATGTATGTGTGTGTGCATGTATGTGTGGTATATCTGTGTACATGCGTATTATACAATGTACATATATATGTCTATTCTGTGTATGCTGATGTGTGTATTGGGCATGCATGTTTTGTGTTAAATGCACACAGGTTCATGTGCCTATGTATATATTATGGGCTGGAGCGATAGCACAGCGGGTATGGCATTTGCCTTGCGCACAGCCAGCCTGGCCGAGCTGGGTTAGATTCCTCCGCCCCTCTCAGAGAGTTTGGCAAGCTACCATGAGTATCTCGCCCGCATGGCAAAGCCTGGCAAGCTACCCATGATGTATTCAATATGCCAAACACAGTAACAACAAGTCTCAAAAAATGGAGACGTTACTAGGCCCGCTTGAGCAAATCGATGAACAAGGGGAGGACAGTAACAATGACAGTGATGAATATATTATGTATTGTATGTGTGTATATGTGTCTGGATTGGCCTTCTCTCCGGAACTGACACACACAACCCTGTGAGTTAGAGTCAGAGCCTCCTCCCAAGAGAACCAGAAGTTATGGATCAGACAGATCTGTACATGTGTGCACGGGCATAATTGAGTGTATGTAGGCATAGGTGAGTGTGTATATTTTAAGTCAGAAAAGCTCTTGCTCGAAAGTTATGCATAAAGTTCTACATCTCAATTCACTCACTACTGTCAAAGTACCTTTCTGATGCCTTCATCATAAGCTCATAAATACATTTCTGCCCTCAGAAAGGACTCTGAATTGGCATGTCACATTCCTAGTCAACTTCCCAGAGACGGTTCCCTTCACTCCTGTGGGCAGCAGGGAGACTGGGTACAGACTAACAGACCTGAATCCCACGCTATGCTTTTCCAAGTCCAGGACAAAGAGCCATGGAGGAGGCTAGGTCTTGGGGGGCAGGGGGTCTGAGGCATAAGGATGTACTGCAGAGCCAGCAGAGCCAAGGCAAGGTCAGAATGCCGGACCCAGGTCTGGCTGAGATCCGGGTGCCCAGGCTTAACTGTCAGGCCACAATCTCTGTGTTAAAGGCCCAGGGCCCCACTGCATTGCTGTGACTTGTGACTATTTTTAGAGATGTAGTCTTAAAGTGATAATTCCATTAAAATGAGGTCATTAAGAAAGGTTCTAATCCAAGGGGGAAATTTGCACCTGACTCACAGAGAGGCAAGAAGGTGTGAAGACACGGGAGAAGGTGGCCATTGACAAGTCTAGGAGAAAAAGCTTGGAGGAAAATGATTCAGGCATCACCTTAATCTTGGATTTGTAACCTCCAGCCCTGAGACAAGACAGTTGTGGCAACCAAAGCAAACCAATGCTGCCAGTGATTAACCTTTCAGAGTCTTCGTTTCCAAAACTGCCCATGAGAGTCACCTGCCCACCCCCAAGGAGTGCCACGGGAAGCCTACAAAACAAGAAGTGTAGTGTAGGTACTTTGTCAAGATCACCAAGTACTGCAGACACCCTCAAGATACCCAACCTCATATTAAGAGTGGGGTCTGAGGGTCTCATTCCAGGGCTTGGTGGGGTCACAGCGAGAGGGAACAGAACTGAAGCGGTGCCTCAGGGCTCTGTTGTCCCCCCTTGCCGGGGAGGGGGCTGTCCACCTCCACGGTGACAGAGTAACTGTGGGAGAAAGAGAATTTCCTCTTTGTGTGGGAGAAAGGAAAGAGAACAGAATAGAAACTGAAGATCACCGAGGATTCCAAAGGAAAAGGGGGGCTGCTGTGAAGTCCCCAGGAATTTTCTGGCGAAAAACAATAGCTGTCCTCCACTGCTCACAAAATAGTTGATGTGAGTATGCATTGTTTTGTTTTTTCAGTGCATTTGAGATCAGGGACCTTCTCCTGCATAGATGAAAGGTTCTGCTTCTCCACTGTCCATTACAGCAGTGAATGGGTGCTTGAAATATGGCTATGTCCATGGAGGCAGCAAATATTTTATTTTAACTGGCTTCTGTTTGGAGGCAGTAGAGCTCCATACTCTTCCAGAAGGTTTATGGACTACCACCCGCCCCCCCAAAGCAGTTCATTTTGAGAAGCCCTGCAAGAGATGTCCACAGGACGAAAGGAGAGAAAATCTCCCTTAAATTCCTACCCTGAAGGGTTCCAAAAATGAGCTTCAGAAAAAAAAAATCAAGATCAAAGATAAGATATTACCAACATTTACTCCTAGATGAGAAGTAAAAATAGAACCAGCAGGAGGAGAAATGGCAAAAAGCAGCAGGAACTCAGAAGGAGGAAAATTACAAATATCAGAAAAACTTTAGGGTTAACATCTGGTTTCTCCTGGGCCCTTACTATATAACTTACTGTGATCATACCAGAAATTAAAAATAGCTCATTTTTCTGGTCTGTCCAGATATTACAAAACATTCCAGAGGAATCACTTTATTCAGTTAAGCCCAAGACTAAGAACTTTTCATAAGAAAATGTCAGAAATGACCATAAAATTGATGTATAAAGAGAGTCACTAAAGCCCTATTTATAATAATCAGAAATTATTGTTTGACGCAATAATATTAGATTTAATAAATGATTGCATGCCTATAAATGGAATACTACAAAGTCTTTTAAAATGTCCTGCCCGGGGGTCATTTATGACATAGAATAAATGCATGACATGAAAGGGTCTGGAAGGAACCAAGGTAAAAAAATAACATAAAAGTATGATCTAACTTACGATTAAAAAAAAAAATACAGGAACACACCTCTCTGGGGTCACCTGGAACTCAACATGAGGTGTAACTCCTTTCTTTTCCTGGACAGTAGATTTTTTAGCACTGCCTGCATACCCTCCTCTGTCTTGGTAGGTCAAAAAAAATTGCCTTTTCTCTATGCTATTCTCTCCTCTCTCTTCTCTCATATGTCCCAAATGAAAATAGTTTTTCAAAACCTACATTCGTTTCCAAAGAAGTAGATGAGAAAAAAATAGCTATGGAGAGAAAGAGAGATGTCATCAGACAGGGAGCTAGCAGCACAATTATTTATTTTACTTTACCTTCGGACTGGAGCGATAGCACAGCGGTAGGGCGTTTGCCTTGCACGCAGCCAACATGGCCGACCCGGGTTCGATTCTTCTGCCCCTCTCGGAGAGCCTGGCAAGCTACTGAGAGTATCTCGCCCGCACGGCAGAGCCTGGCAAGCTCCCCGTGATGTGCTCGATATGCCAAAACACAGTAACAACAAAGTCTCCAATGGAGACGTTACTGGGCCCGCTCGAGCAAATTGATGAACAACGGGAGGACAGTCAGGACAGGACAGGACTTTACCTTCGTATTCTAATCATTTCTGCCATTACATAATCACATCATTATGTAATGCTTATGTGATTTTTTTTTTCCAGGATACAGAGAGGATAGGTAGACAGGTAGATAGGTTGTGGAAAGTTTACAGACCCTATTACTTCCCCTAAAAAACCAAAGAGTTGAACCAGGAGGAATTTCATTAAGTTTTCCCCCCACCCTGAGTGGTTACACACTCCAGTTATAATCGGATTGGATCCCATTTGCAAAGCATCAGTCACACTATGGATTTCTCTATTTTTTCCACCTTTTCTAGTATGCTGAAAGTGGATTTTTAATTCAAAGAGCCTGACTTATTTCTTTCAATTTTTTTGGTTTGGGGGCCATGCCCAGCGGTGCTCAGGGGCTATTCCTGGCTCTGCACTCAGGGATCATGCCTGCCGGTGGTGCTCAGGGGACCATAAGGGAAGCCGGGGATTGAACCTGGGTCAGCTGCGTGCAAGGAAAGCACCCTACCCACTGTGCCATCGCTCTAGCCCTGAAAGAGCCAAACTTTTAATAATTCATGCATCACCATGGAGCAGCGGCTTTGGGAAGTGACATCGACAACATAACCACTGTCACCTGGTGACCCGGCCAGTCTGGCAGTGTTTCAAAAACCACATGCTGGCTTCCGGTGAGGCAGGTTGCTCGGCAACCACCCAGGTAAGGGAACCTCTTGTCTCCCCTGCCACCACCAGAGCTACTTCCTGACCCGAGTGTGTCCTTCCCTGTGTCTAGTTGCATTCAAGGTAACCGAATAAGCGATTACAGTGGCTATTTTAACATCATGAAGAAATTTATTTGGCTCCTATCCAGAAGGGCAATTACCTAAAAACCTTGGCAGGTTTTTCCCATGGTATTAGAATGGTAACTGATATGGGGGGGGGGGGGGAGGGAGTGCGGGGGGAGCAGGGAAGAATCACTGACCTTCGTAAATACTGATGATATGAGGATGGTTGAGGGATGACATGATCTCAATCTCTCGTCTGATGTGAACCATGTCTTGTTCATCCTTAATTTTGTCCTTACGAATGGATTTTATAGCAACCTATAAAGTCAGGAAATGAAATGTTACTCGGGGAATGAAGCAGATGCAAATCAGCCATTGAGGGAGTTTGGAAAATAAATACAGATGTTACTTGTTGGCAGAACCGACAATAACCAAAACAAAGATTTGAAATCACCCCATCACGTCTTTCATTTCTAGCAAAAACACCCTTCTCCCAGCAACAGAAAACATCGGGTTTGAAGAGCCTGGGGTTGGAGCGGGTGGGGTGTTGGGGTTGGTTTTTCGGGAGGGGGGAGGTTGTTTTGTTTTTCATAAAATGGAGGCTGCTTAATGTGACCAGATTGATTTACCCAAAGAATTCTGATCTACTGGAAAAAGAGAGAGAGAGAGAGAGAGAGAGAGAGAGAGAGAGAGAGAGAGAGAGAGAGAGAGAAGCTCGGCTTACAGGGTATCGATGATTAAACATGAGTAAGTGATATTAGCATCTCTACCAGGCAGCTGCTATGCGGAGCAGCTCGGAAAAGCCTGATTGCAAAGCCTCTCTCGAAGCCAGAGCGGCCTCCAGCCTCTCCTGTGTTTATAGGATGGCTCCGAAGCCAAATCCTCCCCGCATCTCCCCTCTGCACCCAGGCACCTTCCACAGCATGTGATGTGAGCGGAAAAAGTCTCCTCTGGAGATGACTCAGGATAAAACAAAGACCGTGATGATGAGCCCTGGTTGATTGCAGAGCGCCGCGCCAAGGTCCTCTGCAAATCCAAACTGTCAAGAGTTGCCAGGGCCCCGGCACAGCACAATTACCCAAAGATGCCCATCAGCGAAGGGGCATCAGATGACAGTGGGCACCCACGAAGGGAAATGCACTTGCACACGAACAAGTCAGTGGGCACCCACTAAGGGAAACACATTTGCACACGAACAAGTCAGTGGGGGATCTAATCGGCCTCCACCCTGAAAGGGGGACAAGGAATAGTTCAGGGTGGGGAGGGAGTCCAAGGTAACAAGGAAGCCCAAGGGCTAATCTGCTGCGTGCTCTAAAGCCTGCTTAGCCGGGCCAGAGCAACAGTCCAGCAGGTAGGGCACCTGCCTTGCACATGGTCGACGTAGGTTTGATAAGCATCTCTTATGTTCCCTGCAAGCACTGCCAAGAGTAATCCCTGGGTGCAGAGCCAGGAGTAACGAAGGAATCATGAAGTGTGTTCCCCAAACCATTAAGAAATTAGTTTAGAGCCTGTTTAGTTCCCTCCAAACTGGTTCCCCAAGGACCTCACGTCTCACCTGCTCCCCCCACCCCCTCCTTCCTAGATGAAACACCACCAGACCACCCCTCTGAGTTAGAATGCCCCCAAAGAGCCCAGAGACACCCCCCTCTATGTTATCAGCCGCCCAAACCAGAGACAGCTCCACACCTGTGAGTGTTCACCACTTCCAGCCCCTCGGGGTCCCTAGAAACCCCATCCGGACTCTGATCTCGCGGGGAGCTGGGAATCGTGGAAGGGCTCCCACTGCTCTGTCAGCCACATGGGCTCCAGGTCCCAGCATTTTCCCCTTGGCAGAGCCCACCCTGATGATCAGGAGGGGGGCCGGGGAACGCCCTGTGACACTCCTGGGGAATTCACTCACGGCTGCCCCAAATCACACCATGCTTGGCACATGGCAAGCCTGAGAAAGCACTTGGTCCCCAGGCAGGCAGGGCTCTAGAAAGGGAAGGAGGGAAAGAGGAGGCAGGGGGCAGTGGGGGGGGGGGGGGGGGGGAAGAGGCAGATATTTTTAGCTCATGACAGGCCAGACCTGGCAACCAGGCCTGTCACAGCAGTGCACCTAGAGCAAAACATAAAATAATGAAGACTTGTGGCTGTCCAGCAACACGGCCAAGGCCGACACAAGAGAAAGTGGGTTGCGGGTTTGACTTCCGACATCCACCCAGCGGCTTGGGCCATGGAGGCACACAGAAAATGCCAGAAGTAGCCCCGCTCCCTCTGGTCTGTGCTAGAGCTCACAGCTGCAGAGATGAATGAGTTTCCAGCTCCTCGCTCCCCCCTTTCGCCACGGTGCCAGGCTCAGAGCTACCCCGGCCCCCCAGGACAGCTCCATTCAGTCTGGAGCAAGGAAGGCTTCCCACTGACGTCAAGGGCGGCAGAGATATGACTGGAAGGCTTTATTTAATCTGCACGGGGCCTGGGGAGCTGGGAGCGGGTGCGGGGAGGAGTAGACAGTGATTCTGCACGGGCCCTGGAGGATGTGGGTGGCAGCTGGAGCAAGTCCTTACATTCCTCCCTGAACTCGAGATGGGCCCAGGCTGGAAACCACCCCTTCAATTAGGCTGCACTCGCCCCCCCCCCCCCCCCCGAGAGGTTGTAGCAATGTCAAATGACAATAGGGATGAATTCTTCACCCAGGTCAGGGCGGTGAAGGGCCCCATTGTGGGGACAGCAGTGGCAGAGAAAGGAAGTTCACTTGTTAACCACCCCGAACACGGAGCAAAGGGCCAAGGGCCCCGTGATGGTGCCCGGCCAATACCCGCCCCCCCCCCCGCCCCAGCCCAGGGCAAACAGGCGAGCACTACATTCTAATAAAACCCCAGTGGGTACCAAGGAGACAAGGACCCCACCGTGCCCTGCGCCACGGAGGCTGCGCCCCACAAAAAAAGTCCTCCCATAAATCTTCTGTTGGGAATGTCAGCCAGCACTTCCTGGGGTCCCTCTTTCAAAGGGGTGGTGGGAATCAGAAGGCAGATACTAGAAATCACTTTGAACCCCAGAAGAAACACGGTTTGATTCGCGAAGGTAGAGACGGGCCTCACCCTACGTGATGGGGCTGGCTGTGGGCCACCGATCAACACAAACCGTGGGAAGACAGGAGCACTTGTTCCTGGAGCACTTCCTGTTGGGGGGAGGGGTGTTCCAGGCTTCTGTCCCGCCCTCCTCAGGCTCCACCAGCCCCTCCGCCAGCCTCCCTGACCTTGCAAGCTGAAAAGGCCACTCACTCCTCCATCTCCTTCCCCCGCCATGGCTGGGTGCCTGTACCCCACTCCTGGCCCAGACGTCCCTGCATGGTTGTCTCGTGTTGAAAGACTTGTTTAGGAAGAGGGGAACCAGCTCTCCAGGGAGAGAGAGCTGGTTCTCTGTCTCCTATCAAGGAGCGGCTGCTTCAAGACATGGAACGATAAACCAGGCTCCAAGTCCTGTGAAATGGCATCACGGTTTGGCATGGGTCTGACTCGAAACTCCCTCGATAGCTGTGTGACCTTAGGCAGCTTGCTTAACTGCCCTGTGCTCTGCCTTCTGTCAAGTTTGGGAAGTAACTGCCTCCTGGTGCACAGGAGGATTCAATGTTGAAGAGCTTCGGATGCACTGGCCCAGGGTAAGTGCTCAGCAAGAGTCCATCAAAGAGAGGACGTCCTGCCTTGGGCCCTTCCTCCGAGCACAGCTGAGCTACCCCCTAGGTCTCCGTGGCACAGCGAGAAAAGGTTCCGCGTTTGTTCCCAAGGATAGTTCCCAAGATCCCTCAGTCCCACCCTCGCCTGAAAGCTCAGCCCGGGTAGAGAACCCTCAGTCCACCAAGACCACCACACACCGTGTAAGGCCAGACAGAAGGATCTGGGCAGACTCCAACCCAGAACTCAAGGCTCCAATCGAGACTGCCGGCTCCTTCTTCCCTCCACGGCTTTCGTGCTCTAAACGTGAAACCCACTTCCCTCCCGGAAGTGCCACTAACCAACCTGCAGGAAGGGCTGAGATTTCAGAGCCGTCTCATCAGTGAACAGCGGCTACCACCCACTACGGGCTGTTCACAGCTGGCTTTGGAGGAGCTGAGTGCCGTGCAAAGAGATGTCTCTCCCTCTCAGCCCAGCCCAAAGTGCTGAGACAGCCGGTATCAGCACTGTGGGCTGGTCATCAGACCGGGCAGTGGGGCATCCCCCACACCAAGCCTTGCTGAGGCAAGTGCCACAAGGCTGAGCATCCTGGTCTGCAAAGGAGGAAGGTGAGACTCCCTCCTGCAAGGTGGATGCGGGGTCACGGCAGTGAGTGACCTTTGGGGGGCAGGGGTCACCAGGGGAAGGCAAGCAACACTGAAGCAGGGCTGGGAAAAAGAGTAACAGGTGTGACATCAGCATCGCATGGTCCCCGGAGCACCGTTAGATGGTCCACGTAATTCCCACACAGCATCACCAGACCTGACATTGCACGACCAGACTGGGAGGCCCGGAATAAAAGCACCAGAGACCCGAACAGGGGTAGCCTGCGTCTCAGGCAGGCCCTCGCTCCAAGCCCTGAATTCCAGCAAGAGTGCAGGTCACATTTGTGAAGCCAAAGTAGCCGTGGTCTGTGGGAGGGAGCCCCAACTCTCTCTCTCCCGGCCCTGGGACTCTGATTCTGAGCCCTAACCTGGAACCGGGTCCAACCAAGTGAGCGTCGGAGCGCGAATCAGCCGCCCAAGGGGCTGAGTTGATGTGATGAGGGAGAATGGTCCCCTCACCGCAGGGCTGCATTATTAATGACATGGAGAAGGGGAACAACAGACACTCTGCGGGGAGCAGCCCCGTGATGAGGCGTTTCACAGCGGGGCGCGGCGGGGGTGACCGAGGGAGCTGTTCTCACCCGCCATGTCAGGACACTGCTTTCAGTTCGAATCTTGATCCAATTTCTGAAGCCTGCCTGGATAGCACACATGAAGAGGTTGCTGGGGAGTGGGGGAGAAGGGGGTTAATCCCATGATTTTTTAACGAGCTTGAAAACACAGCTTTTAGCTACTGATTTCAACCCGCTACTGAACCACTGACCTTAGGAACAATGAACAAGGAAAACAAAAGACTCAATACAGGGACTGTGTTTTCCAGAAAGGACATTCATTCAGAGTTTGGACTGATCCGGATCATCAGAACCACGGGGTTGGGGGGGGGGGGGGGGCAGGGAGGCGGGGGAATAGGTTCATTTTTCAAGACGGTAAAAGACAGGGCGGTCCATTTTCTTTTCTACTTTAGCCCTGGATGATTTTATAGATCAAGTGCAAAGAAGGAGGCTTGGGAGATAGGATTAGG